TGGGACTGGTGGCTTTGTTACCTAAGGAAATACAACAATATTAACAGCAGCTCAGTCATTAAACTAGACCAAGATCGCATTAAAAAATGTACCTCGACTGCAGGTTGCTGCTGTTTGCTTGCGATTTGTGCAGCTAACTTCCTGAAATGTCAAGAACTCCACAGTCAATTAAAGGGAATTTGAGATCAGGTGTAAGCAAATGTTTATGACACGAAATAGAGTCAAACCTTGTGATTGGACGATGAATCGGAACAGGAGGGATTTTGTTAGCAGCATTGACTTTGTTGCTAGAAAGAAATACAAAAAGAAAATCAAAACAGGTTGTAAAATCAAGAAAAATTAGAAATGGAAATGGAGTTCAAGGGTTTAAGAAGTTTATACTCAGTAATGCCATTTCTCTTGTTGACAGCATAGGGTAAAGGGGGAGCTCCAATTACATTCCTATTGATTGTACTAAGTGCCCTCCTATTTTGTCCAACTCCTGCAGTCAATTTTCCTCCTCCAACAACAGGCCTTAATCCTCCTAATAACAAAACACCATTCATAGGTTAGGGTCTCTAACAGTCAAATCCACAAACACAAGAGAATCAAAACAAAGACAAATTCAAGAACACATAACATAACAAAAGAAATTAATCAAATATTAATAAAACTCACCTTGAAAATTTGAAGCCCTCATCACACCTGAAAAGTTCTCGTCTGATCCAACCATTTTGACTGCTCAAATCCCAATTGAATAATCAAACCAAGAAAAAAAAAACCAAGAATTCAGCTAGATCAGAAATTTCATACATGAAAACCCAATGAACAACCTGCAAATTGAACAAAAATAGACTAATTCCTTACACTGATTATATCACAAAAAGATCAAATCTTTGAGTGGAAAGAACCTTAACGATTTCAGTAAACAAGAGAGAGACTATGAATTAGAAGAACCCCATCAAAATTTATCAATCAATGGAGTCAAAGATCTCTCTCTATATATATATATATATCTTTTTTTTCTTTCTTTTCTCTAAAGATTGTTATTGGGGTTGATTTTGAGAATCATTAAAGAGTGAAATGGGAAATAGATATACGGAATTAAGTCGTAAACATCGGATATATGTCTGTTCATATTTTGAAAGTAACGGCTAGTAAATTATGGCCGTTGGATGAAAGGTCGCGAAGTTCCGAGCTGAGGCCTAACGGTTACCTTGCGCTTTCTCCTTTCAAATTCTTTCTCCTCATCATATCTTTGCTCTTTTATTTTTCCACTTTTTTTTTTGTCATAATGTTTTAGATTACAATTGTATTTTTTACTCCTTTTGGACAATTTTATTTTCTCCTATTAATTAATATAACCTTTGAAGAACATGAATTTTTATTTTTTTTTATAATGGTATTAGTTGTTAAGTAAATCATGATTAGATTTGATATTATGGAAGTTTATTGAGTTACTTTAAAATTTAGCTATTTCTTGTCTAATGGAATGACCGTTATTCAGGTGATCGAAAGGAATCTGAGTGAGCGGCAACTTTATTAATGTTCATTTGTAACGATGGTTGCGAGTTTAAATTTCCACTACATTAAAGTAGAAAATGCCGTATGAGTTTTTATTCCTCGTATGCTAGACTATGTTAAACGAATCTAATCTAATCTGTTGGAAATATTAGTTACTTTATCTTATTTTCATCCCTCCTCCACCCTCCACACACAAAAATAATAGAAAAAATGACATTGTATAGCCGCTCTTAAAATAATAGTCGAAAATGACGTTATATATATATATATATATATATACACACACACATTTTGTATGTTATATACAAAAATTATATAGATTTTACATATTTTTTCGGCTATCAAATATAAATAGTTTCTGGCACGGGCTAAAAGTGATAATATCCCAAAATAATAATTATTGTTTGTGATTTGATTACTTCTATGGATGCATTATCCGAATATAAATCTGAAATAAACTTTCAAAATGGGTAAAACAGATGTCAGGTTTCAGTCAAAAGGAGGATTAATAAGTTTATCTTTTATAGGGAAGTAATTTTATATTTATATACCCAAAAAAAAGGAATTAATTTATATTCATTAGACAGTGCTGATCAAAAACCTGGACCACTAGCTATTAAATATTTCATTGAGCAATCCAATGAATCATATAGAAAAAGAAAGTGCTACTAGCGAAACTAATTTCTAAATAGCTGAATTTTGTTTGTAAATAATATTTTTGAATTATTATGACTTTGGTTACGGTCTCCAATGGAATAAGCCAAAATTACATTCGAGAAAATGCCGTACCAAACTGCCAAAAATCTGCATATTTGCAGAGACCTCGCAGTTTGTTAATCACAAAAATTTTGGAACTAGTTCAAAAATAAACAGGTGGATTAATGAGAATAATTGCTTTTGTCACATTATAGATTCAATGAATTAATGATAATGCTATATATGACAAAATTTATAATGAAAAATGGCTTAAAATGTTTGAAGAAATCACAATAGAAAATATAATTGTTTAGCTTCTTTTTTTCTTCATCATAATTGTTTATCTCCTTAGATATTAATAATGTAGTAATTCTTTTAGGGAAAACAAGTAGTTAATTTTTAATCTCGTGGTTTGCAGGTTTTCATCTTTGTGATCAAGAACTTCCAATGCTAAATATTTTTGTCAGCTTGCATTATATTAAATTTTCATTTATCAGTACAATTATGCGATATTCATTTGAACTTATAGGTCACACGGAAACAATTTGCCAGTAGTACTTATATTATGTGGCATATTTGGATGGCTAGGTTCATGGTCAAAGGATAAATGTGAACCAAATGCGATCTTAAATAAAACTTTGTTTAATTTTTAAGAATATCAGAAATTAACGCTTTCTTCCTTTATTTCTAAATGTATATATATACTAATGACATTAAACAAACAATACTTAAATATGGTATTTTTTTTTGCTTACAAATGCCGCAGGTTTACACACACACCAAAAAAAAAAAAAAAAAAAAAAAGGAACTTATGAATAAATGGCAAAAATTAAGGTTCTCTTTTCTTTTCTTTTTTTGGATGTGAATAATGTGATAGAACGAAATAATCCAAAAGAAGGTCAAAGTCTCATGGAAAATAGCTGGGAACAACATGTGTATGAATAAAAGGGGCGGCCCGTGCACAAAGTACCCTGTATTCACACAGGATAGTGGAAGGACGACCGCACTCCTAGGAGTATGATGTAGACAGTTTAACCCTAATTCACGGTCCGGGGAAGGGTCGATAGAGGTGTGATATAGTTAGCCTACTGTAATGCAAACACTAGTAGCTGCTTTCATGGTTTAAACCCGCGATCTATAGGTTATACGGAAATAACTTTACCGATACTCCAAGGCTCCCGTACATGTGATGGATATGGATATTGATGGTAAAATTTGCATAAGTAACTATATGTTCCTATGACTTTATACGTGTTAACTCATAGTTTAACTTAATTTTTAATTTTTGTAATTGCATGAAATCTCTTTAGATAATAAATTTCGAGTTGAGTTGTAAATACTGACATGTCGATCTTTTAGATATGTGAGACTCATTATATAACTTAATATAGTAATCGATCATGAAACTAGCTAGACTCTTGGGATAATAGATACTTATACTACTAAAACAAACATGAATTGGTGATGGGCAAAATCGGTAGCCAATTAAACACTAAAATTCTTTGCTAATCTTACTAAGCAGTGGATTAGCGATAGAATATCAAATAATATTAGCTACAAGAGATTTAGCGACAAAGTTCATAGCTAATTTCACTTTTATTTATATATATATATATATATATATATGAGTTGTGTGTGTGTGTATATTGCATGATATGAGTTGGAACCTTTGTCTCCTTTTTCCCTTAGTATTATATATACTTTCCCTTATGAGTAATGTATGGGTCAAAATCCGACCGAGGGAATTCAGCACGAGGAGGTGATTATCGTGAGAATTGTAACTTATCATGGGCAGTTCGGCCGAGGTCGATCAGTGGTGAACAGAACGAGCCGTTGAGTGGCTCATCAGGGCCGAGGTCGAGCAGCAAGGGACAGAAGTAACGGTTAGTACAACTTTGGAACTTACAAATGGAATATTCTGTTGAATATTCCTTCTGTTGTACCTTTTAGGGTTTTTTCCGGAATATCCCATATAAATAGTATAAGAGATAAGGCAAAGGGCATGTAATATTCCATTTGATAAGAACACTTTTGAAAAGTAAGCTCTCTAGATAAATACAAAGAACAACTTTCCGAGAAAGATTCCATCCTTATATTCAATCCATTGCCATTTCCACCAGATCCGAGAAAATGTATAATATTCTCTCATATTCTTGTCATTCATCATTGTTAGAAGAAGGAATCATCCGCCTCTTTCATTATTGGGTGAATCTTCCTCCCTATTTTACATTTAGTGCCATTTATTGTTACTTTATTACTTGCTCTCATCACATTAATAACAGCAACATTTATTATGGGTAAAAACTTACCCGCACCGGGTGTTTACACCAAACCAATAGATATATGACATGTGTCTTGCATATGGACTTCAATCATTTAACCATAGTAAATTACATGCATGCTCATCCAATTAAATTAATTAACCATAGTGAGTTAATATAGTTTGGTGTAAACACCTGGTGTTGATAAGTATTTACCTTTATTATGTATTGCGTTAAATCTACTTCAACGTGGTCCCACATTATCCATATAAACTGATTTTAGATCTGTAATATTATCTTTGACTAGGATTAATCGCTTATCCTTTTACTTAATTAGTTTAACAAAGAGTTTCATACGTTTTGGTCAAACAAGTACAAAACAAAAATAATTAATATATTAATTGTACGTGGAATTAAAGCGCGATTATGGGTAACCGCTAAGATAACGGAATTTCAAAATCTTGGCATTTCTAAAACCGCAAAAAAGTATTTCCTATTTTCTTCTCCTCTAATCCATACCCGCATGTAACGTGGGTAAAATTTCCAGAGACAGAACATTGACTGAAAAAGAGAAAATCAAAGCCTGAAAATTCAACCGAAATTAATTAAGGGTTTTGTTTTTTCTCTCCCCAATTATATCCTCCAAAAAAACAACCTTTATTGAAGCCAAAATCATAGCTTTTTGATCTGGATTCTAGGGCTTGTTTATTTGGAGGTTTAATTTAATTTACAAATGGTAACTGCTGGGGAAAAGGACATTGAAAATCAAGGTTTTATAATGGAGGAAGAAAATGGATCAAGTTGTCAAACAAGTCCACAAGATAAAAGAGAATTGGTTTATGAATTAATGGGTATAATTCAAACTGTAAGTTCTTATGCTGAGTATAGGAGGACACAAAGAAAAGAAAGTCGTAATCTTGTTCGAAGGATGAAGCTTTTATTACCTCTTTTGGAAGAAATTAGAGATTTTGAAGATCAAATTCCTGAATCGGGTATTGAATGTTTGGTAAAGATGAAGAAGGCATTTCATTCTGCTAAGAAATTGTTAAAATCTTGTCATGGCGGTAGCAAACTTTACCTGGTTAGCCAAATTCTTTGTTTTATTAATTCTAAATAGCGTCATGCAGAAATGCAGGGTAAGACTGCGTACAATAGACCCTTGTGGTCTGGGCATTCCAGGATCTCGCGCATAACAGGAGCTTAGTACACCGGGCTGCCCTTTTTTCATGCGTATTATCATCATGTTTTACTTTTGGTAGGAGGTGATATATGTCAATTTGTGTAACCACCTCAGAAAGATTAAGCTGTTAGAGAGACTATGCTTTTAACTATTATTAAATAATTATATTATGTCTCAAGGCGTCCCTTCATGTGTGGGTCTGATTCATTTTCATGGACCAAACACGTGAAAATATTTTGGGTGGCGAGGACCCAAAGACCTCCAGCATGCTCTAGTACCATGCTAATTTGTGTGTCCACCTCATTTAAAAGCTTTATCTGTTAGAAAGACTACTCTTAATTATATTATGTGTCTCGAATATATGTTGCGGGGATTTATTTATCGTTTTGTACACTGTTATGCAGGCTTTGGAAAGCGAGGCTGTAATGCGGAGATTTCATTCTGTGTATGAAAAATTAAGTCATGCTTTGGATGGTATGCCTTATGAAGAACTTGGAATTTCAGATGAAGAGAAGGAACAGGTCGGATCCTTTAAAGATCAATTTTATGAATCACAATATTATCTTCTAAAGAATTAGATGAAAGGGGCCAAATAGAGTAGAGTGGTAATTGAGGATTACATAGCCGACTAGTTTGAGACTGAGGCATAATAGTTGATATAATGCTGTTAAACATTGTTTATTTATTCATAGATGAGCCGAGGGAAGCATAGCTGAATGGGCATATAGCTAGACCAAAGTCTATATCGTGAATTGTACGAGGTCACAAAGAATTGACCTATTTATGGAGTGATTTTATGATCGATACAGGATATAGACTACTCGTCCTTCATCTTATTCTATATCAAAAAGGGTAAGAAGGGTGCACTCTTGAGCTGGTTAATAAATTGAAGGTGCATTTTGTGTGGTGCGCTGTTAGATACACGATGGGATCTTATGATGGAGTCAATTGTTTAGGAACTCTTTTTTGAGATTGCTCCCTTCTGCTATCGTTTTGTTGAAAGTTACCTGCTCGTAATGTCCAAATGTTTAGTTTACTTAACATTCTTGAGTAGAACAGTCTGTACCTATTTTGCTGATATGATAGTACTGCAGCTTACAATGTGAATAATATATTCATGATGTGATACATTCAGGTGGAGTTGATGCTCGTTCAATTCAAACGAGCTAGGAAACGAATCGATACTCAAGATATGGAACTTGCAATGGATCTAATGGTATCATTATCCACAGAGAATGACAGAAATGCAGATAGTGCTAGCATAGAGAGGCTCGCGAACAAGCTGGAATTGCATACTGTTGAGGACCTAATGGCTGAAACAATATCAATAAGAAAAGTGATTAAAGAAAGACGAGCACAGAATGCTGAGAGCACCCAACAAATCATAGATCTTTTAAACAAATTGAAAAGGTTAGCAGGGATGGAAGAAACTGGTATTTTTGACGAACCTGTTATTCCCAAAGCTCTTGAGAAATCCACTTCTTTGGCGATCCCCAATGAATTCCTCTGTCCGATCACGTTACAGATTATGACAGACCCGGTTATTGTTTCAACTGGACAGGTAAGAACATTTCACTCTGCTATTCTTGAATTTTTCCCTTGCCTATAGGTTTGGAAAACCCATAGTTCTAATAAATTTGAGAAATGAAAACCTATTGTCTGCCGTAGGATTGGGAAAACCATTCTCTTATAGATTTAGGACTACTTGAGATGTATAGGGGTTGTAGTTGGAGATTCTTAGTAGTATACTGCCCTGAGGATTCGTGTATGATTGTGTGCTAGTTAACCCACAATCTTCCGCAACAATTGGTATCAGAGTCAGGTTAGGGTTTCTACACTCGTGTAAGAATGTTTAACTAGTGAACTGATCCATGAAAATTCTTCAAGTTATATATGTATAGTAGCTGAGTTAGTGAAGTGTTAATAACTTTTTTCTTTCCAACTTGTTATCTGTTGCAGACGTATGAAAGAGAGAGCATACAGCATTGGTTGGATACTAATCATCGTACATGTCCGAAAACGGGGGAAACTTTGACACACTTGTCATTGGCTCCAAACTTTGCTCTAAAGAATTTAATAGAGGAATGGTGTTTGAAGAACAACTTTCAACTTCCAACAAAGCAGGCTTCTACAAACCCCGAAAGTCCTTCTGCTGGAAGTGATGAAAAACTATTGTCGTTGATTGAAGACTTATCCTCGTGCCATTTAGAAGTGCAGCGAAAGGCTGTGACAAAGATTCGGATGCTTTCAAAAGAAAATCCGGAGAAAAGAACTTTCATTGCTAATAGCAGAGGAATTCCACCAATCGTGCATCTACTGTCCTATCCTGATTCCAAAATCCAGGAGCATGCTGTGACCGCTCTTTTAAACTTGTCAATCGACGAATCAAACAAGAAACTTATATCCAAAGAAGACGCCATTCCAGCAATAATTGAGGTGTTGCAAAATGGAAGCGTTGGTGCTAAAGAGAACTCTGCAGCAGCATTGTTTAGTTTATCAATGCTTGATGAAAATAAAGTAGCTATAGGTTCGTTAAATGGTATCCCGCCATTGATTGATCTATTGAAAAATGGGACAATTAGAGGGAAGAAGGATGCTATAACTGCACTCTTCAATCTATGTTTCAACCACACAAACAAAAGTATAGCGATCCAAGCCGGGATTGTAGCACCATTACTTCAACTACTAGAGGAAAAGCATTTAGACATGGTTGATGAGACTCTATCCATATTGTTAGTTCTCGCGACACATCCAGAAGGTAGACAGGAAATTGGAAAGCTTTCGTTCATCGAAACTCTTGTAAATTTGATTAGAGATGGTACTCCAAAGAACAAAGAATGTTCAGCAGCTGTGCTTCTTGAGTTAAGTACACACAATTCAAATCTTATGCTTGCTGCTCTACAATATGGAGTGTATGAGCATTTAGTAGAGATAGGGAAAGAGGGAACTGACCGTGGACAAAGGAAAGCAAAATCAATACTACAGCTTATGACTAAAACTGAGCAGATTCCATACTGACATTGCAAAGTCAAAAAATGTATATCCTTGTAAAATTTCAATCTTTTTGTTTTCCTCTTTTTTATTTCTTGTGAGTCAAACAGTCGAGATTGTGTATATAGTACAGTCGTGGAGCCAGGATTTTTGACAAGGGGATTCAAAAATATCCGAAAATGCCACACTTGGTTTTCAACCTGTATTCTCTTGTATATTTTGTTTATGTATAAAAATGTTTTTGCTTATGCGGTGTAATTTTCTGACGAAAGCGGGTCAATTCATTGCACGTGTCTCCGCATTGACTATTTGCTTCGCATTGCAGGAAAAATAAGCTGCTTTCTATTTTTCTTATGATTTCTGTGGTGATACTGATAATGTCTCCTTTTGTCTTTTTGTCCTCTTGAGCCGAGGGTTTTTCGGAAACAGCCTCTCTATCCCTTCGGGGTAGGGGTAAGGTCTGCGTACACACTACCCTGCACAGACCCTACTAGTGGGATTTCATTGGGTCGTTGTTGTTTTCCTGCTGAAAACTTGTGAACTATTAAGGCAAAATCAAGTCGATAAATCTGCTGGACCAACTCACTTTTGCAGCAAATATGAGAACATTTCATTTTTGTAATTGTGAAAAATCCGCTCTATCTTTTGTATTTTTTCATTTTCCTAGGACTGGAAACAACATATAATATAAGTGCCTTTTTTTCCTTTTTTTTTTTTTTGTAGGTTTTAAAATGGAGTACAAGATTAAGAAGGGTATTGATTTGGACAGATGCCTAATTTGACAAGTGATATATGACTATTTATGGCTCTAAGAACTGTCAAATATGCTCTTTTTAGAGCATTTATATCCACGTGAATTTCTTCCATCTTCATTTCTCATTTTGATAAAAAAAAAAAATAGAGTTAAAAATACAAATCTTTCAAATATGAAGCTGGATTGTAATTGTTTTTTTTGGTAAATTTGAGGTTTTTTAAAGATGAAAGTCTTAATAGTAGAGCATACTTAACTGTCAAATGTGTGTGGTCCGAGAAAGGATCTAAAATGTGTATTGCACACACCCGTATTTTACATTTACACAAAAGAAAGCGACTTGAACTCTTGACCTAATCATTGCGTGAACGCTTTCTAGATAGTTCTTTTAATAGAGGGGATAATGTAGATGCATTTTCTAATCTAAGCAATGAATGATTCAAACTTTTGCCCAAACAGCAAAAAAAAAGCTATTAGGACGTTTGGTATGGAATTACGCTTGAATATGGTAAGTCTACATAGTTCTACGAAGATGAACAATGTCGTCAATGTGAGGATCACCAATATTACAAAATAAAGTGGACCTTTTTTCATAATTGGCTTCATAACACTAACTTTTCTTATGGTTTGCAATTACGCTTCCTCCCATCTTGTTTTATTAATTTATAACAATTATTTAAGAAAAATTTTCATAAAGCATTATCTTTTTAGTAGTAATTAGTCATCTATAGATACCATTTGCTATATTACGGATTATAGATACCTTTTATATGGTTATAAGATGTATTTGATGTACTTAAGCTATTGTATTCATGAATACAGTAGCAAAAATAGGCGTGAATCAGGGAAGTCCGGCTAATCAGTTGTTGTATTCGAGTGTATTCGACTGTATTCATGGAGTGAAACATGGGATTACAGCTGGACAGATTATTGTATTTGACTGTATTCGACTGTATTCACGGCGTGAAATAGGGGATTACACTGTTTTTAAAACGGAAAGTGAATCGATTAACATAATAGACTCCTAATATAACTCAACAAACTCAATTATAACACACAAAATTTATATTTTCAGTTAAAAAAGATTCTCAACAAAAAAATACCCCAAAAACATAGCAATCTTCAGGGAAATTATATAATACATCTGATTACATAAATTATATTAATTAAAAAGAACTTATGAATACATTCATGGCATATAGCGAGACAGTGACTACGATGAAATACATAGAATACAACGGGATACATTGAAATACAATGAAAAAAAAGACAGAAAATATAATAAAATACATAGAATACAGCAAGATACATTGAATTACAATGGAAAAAAAAAAAGAATGAAGCACACTCTGAGCACAAATATAGTGGCCAGATGCAGAAGGAGTCTCGTAGAGAAGTATGTGGGCAAGAGCAACATCCTTAACATGCACGTACGCCTGGACTGAATTGGCCTAAGTTTTAGGAGAGCCAGTGAGGTACTTTAGGATGTGAAGAACACTCGCATTCACTGTTGGTTGAAGCAATGGTCCAAGCACCAATACTGGATTGATCACCACTAACCAAGAACGGCGGCGGAAGGATGGGAACGCTGGTGTAACTGATTTTAATTTAAATGGGATGGGGGAAGAGAATGGGATGTACCAAAGTAGAGAGAAAGAAAATAGTGTAACTGATTAGCGTATTTGGTGGCTTAGGGCTAGGAGGTAACCAAAATTAAATACTTTGCTATAAACCTTAAAAGGTATCTATAGAATATAATTTTTTTAAATGATATTTATTTAAAATAAATTAGGTGTTAACTTTTGCTATAGGAGGTAAAAATTCCTTATTTTAAATTATTTATCACTAATGCAAAAAGAATTACAGTTTGACCAATTTGATCTCTCTAATATTATCCTCTTTTTCTTAATTAATATTAGCAATTTCGTTTTTAAGAAAATCATTACAAAAAAGGAAGTCATTCCTATACCTAGGTTGATGTAGTTCACGTCGATTAAATCTTTAATTCGACATTTATGTACAAAATTGACCTTGCAGGCTGCAGCTGCAGCAAATTAAGAGACATTATGCACAATTTAGTACTACATTTTCAAACAATTCAAGATAAATATTTTGTTTGTTTGATTTTGTTTTAACATAAATATTTCAATATGGTCTTAACATAAATTCAATTATGTTTCATTCAAAATACATTCAAATTTTAATTAAGTAATATTTCTATTGCCTTAGCATAATTAGTATTAAGGTCCATTTTTTAAAGAAAAACAAATAAGGAAACGTGAAAAGCTCCTAAATATTAGGATTGGGCAAAAGTATACCATGAAATAAATTATGGTTACGTTAGATTGATCAAGTAAGGAATGAATCCACATAAAATAAAATTTTAATTGATTTTGCTTTAACTATTACTAGTATTAGAACCCGCGCGATGCGCGAATAACATTAAAAAAAATATTAATCATATTATTTTAATAAAATTATCAACTGTTATTTTGTATCTTTAATGCAGTGTAACCAAAAATAAATAAAATTAAAGGAAACTAATTATATAGCTTTAATTAACTTTTCTATTTATTACTTTAATTTATTACATTATCGACTATTTCGTATTACTACATAGATATAAAAGCTTTTATTAATGGGTTAGTATTAGGGGTGTCAATGGTTCGGTTCGGACGGTTATTTTATAAAATTTGTACCATATCAATTTTTCGGTTATTCTATTATGTATAACCAAAATTAGACTTTTCGAAACCGTCCCAATCATGTCGGTTTCACTTCGGTATTAGTACGGTTCAGTTAATTTTCGATATTTTTTTAAATATCATGTAAAATTCACCAGTAGAAGTAGAATGCAATAACATATGTTCTTTTACATGACTTAGCAAAACTCTAAACATTTTTACTGTTTAAAGGTGATGAATTAAAAAAATATGAAAGATGGCTAGAGTATAGATCCATCAACTATTCGACAGCAACGTAAAAGAAACCAATTAAAAGCAAAGAAAATATAAATCACATGAGTGGAAAGATATTAACCAAGCCGGGACTCAAGAATAAAGTTTATATTAAATATTCAAAAAGATAAATCAAAATTGTATGAAAGGAAACATATTCAATATATTGTAGTTTGCTACTCATAATCGCTAGAACACTTTGTGTCCTGCTAATAAAGATGCTTGAAATAACTTAGTTTAACTATAAGTAGCATAATAGGTTTTAGGAATTACTACTTTGAGTTTAATTACTTGTTGTCTTATAACAATTTTCAAAATTCCAAGACCCAATGAAAAATTTAATGCTTTATTAGTTTTAAACTTACTATATAAATATCTTTTCCACATATAAAATTTATTCGATACGGTTCGGTATTTTTTTTCGGTTTATTTTTATAAAATAAAAAACCTACCCTAATTATCGGTACGGTTATATATTTATATAAAAACCTACCGTTTCTTTAAAAGAAACCTAAAAATCGGTTTTGTACGGTACAGTTCGGTCGGTTTTCAAATATCCATTGACACCCCTAGTTAGTATCCTTGTCCATTACTCCATTTTATATGTCGATATACATTTTTATTTCTCCTAATTTTTTAATTTTTTTTGTTTCTTATATTGTTCACAGTTTTTCGAATATTTAATATATAAATAATAATTTTGTATTTCCTACTTTATTTTATTTTTAAAATTTTTGTGCCCTATTTTGTATATTTTTTGTACTATGATGTTTTGATTAGTTTTCCTCATTTACATTTTTATCTAATGTTTTCATATTTATTTATTTTTTATTACGTCTATTAACTATATTTTTTTCTATTTTATTTTAATTATTGAAAACTTTCTACATGAGAAATTTCTTTCTATTTTTAACATTTCACTATGTTGCTCAGAAGACTTTTATTATTACATATTTTTATTATTGACTTTACTTAATGAGAATCAGATATGTAACATTATTTATTGTATATCGTTGCTCTTCACAAATCAAAAATAATTCCTCATCTCAAACTAAAATAAGTATTATTCTGTCAACCTTTTAAACCATGTTAGTTCGTTGTTGCATTATGCAATACTTAGTCTAACTCTAAATTTAATTTGTTTTCACACTCTTATTTTATAGCTAGGAATTCATTGACTCAGTAAAATTTAATCGGTTGAGAAGGCAAAAAAATGATAAAAAGAAGAATAAAATTAAGTTTAGCTATGACAGAACACAAAATAATTTTTGTTTAAAAGTAATTTGGCCTTATTTTTCTAAATGTTCAATAATTTTGTAGTTAAATCACTACTATTTAAATAAAGAAAAGTAGTAAAAAAAAATCTGAATAATTGTATTCTGGCATACCATACAAATAACATCTTCTATTATTTGCAAAAGCAAAAAGAAAGTGCATAAAAAGGTTTGAAAATAAGCAAATGAGAATTAAGTCATAGTAAAGACGAAGTACAATTCAATTCGGCATCATTTCTAGACATATATACCATTTCAAATCATGTTC